GAATGTGGTTGGGTGGTGGTGGTGGTGTGTGGTCGTTCTTTTTGTTTGCCTTCTAGACATTGTTAAGTGCTGTATGTATTTAACAATATGTTTTGGATTAAATATCATAGTTTTATCAATTGTTTGGTATAGAGTGTAAATATTTAACAAATTTGTTAAATGTTTCTTATTTGCAAATTTTATATCTAATAATATGCTGGTTTATAAAAAGCACTTAAGTTAAGGTAAATACCTGAATACCCGATAATTTTAGGTTTATAGAGATTTTAAAAAAATTTCAGTAAATCAATTCCGCAACATTCAAAATGTTTATCTTCAATTTCTTCGGTGTCAATTTAGTATCGAAATAAATTTTTAAGAAATATGGACGGACTAGCAACAGGGGCATGTCACCTCTATATGAATTAGATAAAGAAATTCGTAGATCTGGAAAAAATACACGAATTTAAATCCTCAAGTTTTGTACGAACAACTTTGACGTCCATGTAAAGGTTTGGAGAAAAAATGGAGAAATAGGGGGCGTTTCACCTCCTATATGAATTAAATACAAAAATTCTTATATCTGGGATACTATTAGACCTAAAATTCTCAAATTTAACACGAGGGCTTATGTAACATTTGAAGAAAATTTTATATAAAAATACATAAACTAATTAATTCCTTATAAAAATTCCTACACAAGTTAATGACAACTAATTTTCCTCGAGTTGCTTTTAATTATAACCAAACTTGTAATTTTCTTATTTCCCACAAACTGCTTTCTGTCCAATGCCCACAAAAATCATTAAAGCACACCATAACTTTATTAAAATCTAAACCTGAATCATCTACATTCAACAGCAACAACAAGTTAATAAATATTTAAAAGCAATAAACCATAAAATTGTATTAACTGGTAAAAAGAAAAGAAATCTTGTAAATATTTCACTGATTTACTATTAACTAAACACACGTGTGTCGTTTGTTATTTGCTTTAAGGCTTTTTAGCTTAAATACTCGTGTTTTCTTATCCTTTTCCTGTTAATGCTTGTATTGCTTCTTCCGGTCATTGAGTATTGTTTGTATTATTTCTCAGTAACAGTAAAAACCACAGGATTTCACACGTATACAACAACAACTACTACAACAAAACACTTAAATTAAGCCACCCACCTAAGCGCTCTTTTGTTTAAGGTCTTTTTATGTATTTGTTGTTGTAGCTGTTGTAGTGCTATTGCCACCCTTCTTGCTATTTAAACTTAGACAAACTTTTCTCGTCTGTCGTTTTTTTTTTTTCATTTTTGGTACCGTTTGCTAACGACAATCTGTAAATTGAAATAATAAGCCAAGGCGGCGATAAGATTAATGATTATGGGTTTTACTTTTTTATACATTTTATTCACTCGTTCACTCACTCACTCATTCATTCATTCGTTCGTTCTTCTTTCTTTCCTTGGTTTGTCGTATATGTCTTTGTTTCTTTTCCTATACAGTGGCTGTAGTATTTGTACCTTTTCCTCCCCCACAGACCTCTTATCATATCCTATTACTATTTGCTGAGAATGATGATGGTGCGGCAAAAACTGATGTCTGTTTTTGATGGAAATTAATTATAAAGCGTGCAATTTAGTGTAATTTTATTGTACATTATTAGACTTGTTTTATTTTTGTTGTAAGTATGTTGGGTGTTGGAGTTGTTGTTTTCTTATAAGTATCCTGATTTAAATAGGTTTTACTTAATGGGAATTCATGAGATGTTTTGCTAAGTTTATTGTTTAAAATGGATTTATGTTTGTTTAATTGTTTAAAATCACTTGTTAATCCAATTAAAGTTGAAATCATTGAATTGGAAAGTGTGTGTGTGTCTTTTGGAGAAATGAGACTGGTCTAAGGTCAAAACTATATGTAATCAAGACTACAAACTGGTATATAGACAAAACTATAGACTGCTAATCATGACTATAGACTGATCTATAATCAAGACTATAGTATGATCTACAGTTAAGACCGATCTACAGTCACGATTATAGACTGCTCTATAGTCAACACTATAGACTGCTCTATAGTCAAGACTATAGACTGTTCTATAGTCAAGACTATAGACTTCTATGGTCAAGATTATATAATGTTCTATAGTCAAGACTATTCTATGGTCAAGACTATAGATTGTTCTATAGTGAAGACTATAGACTTCTCTATAGTCAAGACTATAGACTGCTCTATAGTCAAGACTATAGACTGCTCTATATTCAAGACTATAGACTGCTCTATAGTCAAGACTATAGACGTCTCTATAATCAAGACTATAGACTGCTCTATCGTCAAGACTATAGACTGCTCTATCGTCAAGACTATAGACTGTTCTATAGTCAAGACTATAAACTGTTCTATAGTCAAGACTATAGACTGTTCTATATTCAAGACTATAGACTGTTCTATAGTCAAGACTATAGACTGTTTTATAGTCAAGACTATAGATTGTTCTGTAGTCAAGACTACAGACTGGCCTATAGTTAAGTCTTGTACGATAAAATTACACTAAATTGCAAGATTATAGACTGTTCTATAGACTGTTATATAGTTAAGACTATAGACTGTTCTATGGTCAAGACTATAGAATATTCTATAGTCAAGACTATAGACTGTTCTATAGTCAACACAATAGATTGTTCTATGGCCAAGACTATAGACTGTTTTATAGTCAAGACTATATACAGTTCTATAGTCAAGACTATAGACTGTTCTATAGTCAAGACTATAGACTGTTCTATAGTCAAGACTATAGACTGTTCTATAGTCAAGACTATAGACTGTTCTATAGTCAAGACTATAGACTGTTCTATAGTCAAGACTATAGAATGTTCTATAGTCAAGACTATAGACTGTTCTATAGTCAAGACTATAGAATGTTCTATAGTCAAGACTATAGAATGTTCTACAGTCAAGAGTATAGAATGTTCTATAGTCAAGACTATAGAATGTTCTATAGTCAAGACTATAGAATGTTCTATAGTCAAGACTATAGAATGTTCTATAGTCAAGACTATAGAATGTTCTATAGTCAAGACTATAGACTGTTCTATAGTAAGGACTATAGACTGTTCTATAGTAAAGACTATAGACTATTTTATAGTCAAGACTAAAAACTGTTCTATAGTCAAGATTATAGACTGTTCTATAGTCAAGACTATAGACTGTTCTATAGTCAAGACTAAAAACTATTCTATAGCCAAGACTATAGACTGTTCTATAGTCAAGACTATAAACTGTTCTATAGTCAAGATTATAGACTGTTCTATAGTCAAGACTATAGACTGTTCTATAGTCAAGACTTTAAACTGTTCTATAGTCAAGATTATGGACTGTTCTATAGTCAAGATTATAAACTATAAACTGTTCTACAGTCAAAATTATAGACTGTTCTATAGTCAAGATTATAGACTATTCTATAGTCAAGACTAGAAACTGTTCTATAGTCAAGACTATAGACTGTTCTATAGTCAAGACTATAAACTGTTCTATAGTCAAAATTATAGACTGTTGTATAGTCAAGACTATAGACTGTTTTATAGTCAAGATTATAGACTTTTCTATAGTCAAGACTATGGACTTTTCAATAGTCAAGACTATAGATTGGTCTAAAGACATGACTACTGATTGGTCTATAGTCAAGGCTATATATTGGTTTATAGTCAAGGCAACACAATGATCTATAGACATGACTATAGATTGTTCTATAGTCAAGACTATAGATTGGTCTACAGTCAAGACTATAGATTAGTCATGACTACAGATTGGTCTATAGAAAAGACTATAGATTGGTCTATAGCCAAGAATTTAGATTGGTCTTTAGTCAAGACTGTAGATTGGTCTATAGTCATGACTATAGATTGGTCTATAGCCAAGACTATAGATAGGTTTATAGTCAAGACTCTATAAATTCAAGATCATAGACTGATATATAGTCAAAACTTTAGATGGTCTATAGTCATGACTATACGACTAGACTGTTCTATCGTCAAAACTATAGGCTGATTTATATGTTAAATTTTTAGTATTCTCCATTAAGGAGAGGAAATGCGAAACTGAGATTATTGTACTACAGAGCAAGTGAGATTTCGACCCATAACCTCCGGACCGATAGAACTAATACACACATTAACTCAAATACTTATTATGAAATCCATTAAATTAAAATCTTTTCATAGATTTTAAGTGTTAAAATGCCTGCTGCTTTCCAATAAAAAACTTCATCTACAACAAAATATATTCCAGAACCCAAAACGTAACTGAAAAATTCAACTTGCTTAAAAAAAAAGCTCACTTTATTTTTTGGGCAGACAACCCCACAAAAGTTTTGAGAAAAGTTTGAATGAAAACCTTAAACATTTTGACCCCCACTAAACAAACAAGCATACAAGTTACAATTTTTTTCCAATGACAAAGGAAGACACACACACACTCTGTATCTAGAATAGAGTTGGATAATAATTCAAAAACAGTTTCTATTAAAAGTTACCGCCTTTTCTCGTAGCTGTCAGTCACATATACTTCTCAAACTTTTGCCACCACCAACACTACTACCGCAAGTAAACAGCAAACAAAGGAATATACATTTACTGGGCGTCTAAATGTCCTCTGACTCTTTCAAATGTCCTTTATGCTAACGGAAACATTAAAATGTTTTCTCAAATGTGCGTGTGAGTGACTGTAGTAGTAGTAGTGATGTTATCAAATAATAATTTGTATCTGTTTTGTAATCAATTTGTTTCAAATTATACTGCTGCAGACATACACAGATACTTTTACATGATTTCTTACACACAAACACTGAGATTAGGTTGCAGAAAGTACAAGTGAAATGTTTTTATTGTTTTAAGATAGAAATTAACATTTATTGAAGGATATCTGCTTTTAACACTTTAAGCAGACAGAACAAACTTTTTGTTTAAAATATAAATGAATAATTATATTTAAAGGATTAAAAATTAATTTCCTTTTTTACTTCTTTTACTTTACAGGTCAAAATATGGTTTCAAAATCGTCGCATGAAATGGCGCAACTCTAAGGAACGTGAACTGTTAGCCAGTGGTGGCTCTAGAGATCAAACCTTGCCCAATAAAAATAATCCCAATCCAGATTTGTCGGATGCTAAAGGTGACCGTCCTCTAACGCCTCTATCCCCCATGGCCATGTCACCACAACGTCGCAGTGTTTCACCACCACATTCACCCAATTCCAAAGAAGACTTAAGCAACTCAGCTGCCAGTACCCCCAAGCCTATGATTTCACCCAAAACACCCAATTCACTGCAATCACCACCCATTATGCATCATATACCACAACCAGTAACCAGTATTGGCTCTTCTTTCGGCAGCTCACAACAAATGCAAATTTCCTCACCTCCGCCTCTGCTAACGGTAGCCAAACTGCCAACACAACATGATCAATCATCCACATCATCCAATGCTTCATCACCGCCCAACAATGCTGCTGGCAATGGTGGTGGTGGTGGCGGCATGATGCCCATGACCAGTGCTGAGTTTCAAGCGAAAATCAATGCTGAAATGCATAAACATTTGGTGGCGGCTGATTTGAAATTTAAACTGGAAACCACCTTAAATGAGGCCAAACAGAGACGCATGACTATGTTAAATATCAGTGCTGGTGGCATGGTGGGTTCCCCGGACTCCTTGCATCACATGGCTTTGCATCCAGGACATCCGGCAAATAATATTTTCATAACCAATGCCATGCAACATCACCTGCAACAACAGCAACAACAACAAGCAGCTATGGCTCATCAGCAGCAACACCAACAACAACAATCACCCCATCAAACCTTAAATGGAGCCCCTACGCAAGCACAGTTTCAAAATCCCGATTTTATGAAAATGTATTACGATGACTATGACGAATCGAATTCCGATAGTGATGAAGAAATCAGTGTAACGTGACCGCCTTAATAGTTCATTATTTTGGCTTAAAAGAAAGATAAACATGAATTGTATATATTTACTTTATTTATAGTTTTTAAGTTAATTTTAATAACTAAACAAAAGAAATATTTATTTAGTAATTAATAACATTCATTCTCATACGAACTTAATTATAATAATATTATTAATAAAAATCTTTTTTCGAATTTAAATTCAAAATTATTAACTGGAAAAATTAATAAAACGAAATGTTTATTTTGTGTTTTATTGTTAAAAGAAACCAAAAGTTTGAAAAGTTGGCATCTCTGTAAGTAACTGTGTACTTTGCTATAAACACAATTGGTTGTGGCGTTTACTAATTGTTTAGTCAAGAACAAAACCATGTTGGTTGAGTTCAGTGTTGCCAGAAAAATTTTTACCATAATATTGTTCTTTTGCTTATTTGCAGCGTTCAACACACAAACACGTATATTTTATTCAAATTCTACTTGTAGCAGTGTTTTCAGAAAATTTTGACTCATGTCCCCGATCTTAGGCTGGAAGTCCCATTGAATTTAGCTGGACTTTTTTCTAGGAATTTCAGCAGTAATTTTTTTAGTTTTGGTCGCATATTTCTTCTGCTTGATTTGTTAAGATTTTTGTCGCCATTTGGCTCTTTACGGTGTTTTGCACTGTCGGGTCAAACAATGCCAGGGCAACAAGTTTAGGACTATGATACTACATGTGATTTAGCATTTAGTTAATTCCTTTTTCTGATATGTTTGTCAATGTTTTCGTATTTCAATAGAGTTATTGCCATACTCCTGGCATGGTGTACTGGACCTGGAGACCCGAAGCGAACATATTTTCCGTCAAGACGGCCAAGATATATCAATGCCAACTGTAGCAGCTCTTTGTAGTCTCTTGACTGGCATTCCATTAGTTTTCATTGCAGTTCTTCTTTGATATTCTCTACTTCTTCATGCATCCAAACCTCAGGTCAACAAGACTCGAAGCACATAGCCAGGAGCGAGCAGGAGAGACCCCATTCATCTAGACATTCGTACACTGCTAGGGCTTCTTCTTCCCCTGTCAGTTTCAGGAACGCCCAGGAGTTGTTCTTTCCATCCCAGTGCACGCAAACAGCCTCGTTTTGGAGTATGTTAAGTCTGTCCAATACATTTTTAAACTCGAATGCTCCACAGTGGTATAGGAAAAAAAAAAGAGGGAAATAATTCGGTAACTTCTAAACGGTTAATCCGATTTTAATGAAATATGGTATGCACAAAGAGGAGGTGTTGTCGAGTTTAGGTTTTGAATTTGGACCTTATAGGCCAACCAGGAGCCCGTCGGGGGGTCCTCAAATTAGGACACCTCGGCTATGTTAAATTTTTAAAACGATCCTATTTCTTCATTTGAGTTCCGATTTAAAAAAAATTTCGTATTTCGTAAAAAAAATTTTCATCGAGCACTATAAAAAATGTCGTCGTAGCAGTAAATTATCTCTTATAGTTTAGGAGATATTCGCATTTGAAAATTAAAATTTTAAAATTTTTACCGTCCTTACTTTAGTTTTTTTGATAATAGCGGGTCCAAATATTCCCGATTTTCGCCATTTTTTTTTATTCGCTTAACAACAAGTTTATATATCAAGCAGTGAAAGAATTATGTTGTGTTGCTACATTTTTTATAGTGCTCGATGAGGAGATTCTATATACGAAATTTTTTTTAAATCGGAACTCAAATGAAGAAATATGATCGTTTTAAAAATTTAACATAGCCGAGGTGTCCTAATTTGAGGACCACCCGCCGGGCCCCTGGTTTTCCTATAAGGTCCAAATTCAAAACCTAAACTCGACAACACCTCCTCTTTGTGCATACCAAATTTCATTAAAATCGGATTAACCGTTTAGAAGTTACCGAATTATTTCCCCCTTTTTTTTTCCTATACCACTGTGTGCTCCTAGACTATGCCCATTTTAAATTCTGATCTGATATATAAAAAACCATTCCTTACTAATGACTCACCTGTCCAAGATGTGCACAGCTTCTGCTATTTTAAAAGTATAATAAACAATAATGGAGGATCTAGAACTGATACAGTGCATAGCAAAGAACATTGAGTTTCTCCTGGGAGGAACATTATAAACTCGAATATTAAATTAACTTTGTTATACATAAGCTTCAGATATCTGAAATCATTTGTCAAGCCTTCATCAACTAATGTTTAAAGAGAAAGACACCTCCATATATGATCTTTGACAGTTGAAAGAACACTCTCGTATTGTCAAAAAATTCTCAGACGTACATATGTATGTATGTACATGTCATCGAACAGAACTTCATTGGAATCCCCACGTCAGCCAAATAAGGGAAAGATCCATCCATACCTGGAGAAAACAAATCGTTACCGAAAACGACTACAACATGGTGTTGTTCCCAGGTCAAGATGTCGAGATGCTTTACTTGAAAACCTGCCGTTTTAGCCTTATTTCACGGTGGTCCTTTTTCAACCACTTTGCTCACGTACTCAAACTATCTTATCTCTGACCATTGCTGTTACGTTGCTTAACTTCCAAGATGCAAAAATGCGATGGCCTCTGTTGAGTCGGCAACCTAAACACGAATCCATCAAATAAGCTGAGGGCTTGTTCTTACTCACAGAGAACACTCTGTGTGGTAAATCTGATATGAAAAGAGTAAACACTTAACATAACTGGACAAGGAAGTAAAATGGAATCACTTGTATAAAATACCTATCATCCGCCACCATTCAACCCAGAAGACTCCTCATTCATTCGACAGACTCATGGAAAACAACATCGAACAGTGAAGAGTGAGGCTTACAAGTGGGTAAAGTCCGTATACCCTTACATTCAACCGTATCATACACACTTAACACCAACTCATTTCCAACGCCTAGTCCCCCAGTCTTTTAACCAACATTCTCTTCCCTCGAATTTGGGTTTAAACCACGTGCAACCCGTAGGAACCTCTCCAATAACCAGGACAAGACAAAGTCCGAAATTTATACATGTTGTTTACATTTTCTTATTGTTCTTTTGTATATTTTGTCCTGATTGTGGTCCCGTTGTTTAAAATGGGCTTTACACACTACTACTACTACTCGCTGGTCTTAAGATTCATTGCAAATAGCTCTTTCATACCTGAGAGAACCAACATAATGTTCTCTGTTCTCAGTGAATGTCGGATAATAGCAGAGGAAATATAGTCTCCTCTTCCTACTCATTATGACAACTTCTACAGTAGTCATTGTACTCGAGACCCATACTCCTGGCATGATTGCCAAAAGCACAGTGACCCGTTATTACTGATAACAGCGTACGTATCTGCTATCTACGAAAACTTAACAGGGGTGTCATATAGAGACCTGGCTGACCTCGAAGTAAGACAGGTGGTTTACATTAGGGTTCTATAGTTGAAACGAAAAGTCGACTGTTCGACTTTTTTCATTTAGTTAAAAGTCGACTTTTCGACTTTTTGCATTTTATGAAAAGTCGATTTTTCGACTTTTCAACTTTTTTCATTTAAATAAAAGTCGACTTTTAGACTTTTCGACTATAAGTATTTTAAAAATAGTCGACTTTTCGACTTTTTCCGACTTTTTTCGACTTTTCGACTTTTCGACTTTTTTCGACTTTTTTCGACTTTTTCGACTTTTCGACTTTTTTCGACTTTTCGATTTTTTCGACTTTTTGACTATTTTCGACTTCATTCTACTTTTTTCCGACTATTTTTTGACTTTTTTCGAGTTTTTCCGACTATTTTAGAGTTTTTGACTTTTTTTCCACTTTTTTAAAATTTTTGACAATTTTTGACTTGTTTCTACAATTTTCGACTTTTTCCGACTTTTCGACTTTTTCCGACTTTTTTCGACTTTTTCCGACTTTTTTCGACTTTTTACGACTTTTAGACTTTTTTCGACTTTCTTCGACTTTTTTCGACTTTATTCGACTTTCAGACTTTTCGACTTTTATTCACAAAGTCGACTTTTCGACTTTTTTCACAGACGATAGTGGAGTTATCGACTTTTTTGGAACAAAATAGTCGACTTCGACTTTTCGACTTTTTTCGACAAAAAGTCGATTGTTCGATTATTCGAAAGTCGATTTATAGAACCCTAGTTTACATTCGAACAAGAATAACCTAAATTAAACAACGGGATTAAGTTTAAAATTAGAACCTAAAGAAAAAACTTGAAATGTAAATAAATATTTAAAGAATATACAAATTTCGACTTTATAATGGGTCACACGTAATGTTCGTCAATTGTTTAATAGATGTGAATTTATGTTTATTCAAGTGAAATTGTTTCCAAGATTTTATATTTGGATGAATAAAAACATATTAACAAATTTTTCAGTAAATACTTTTATTTCGTTATATATTTGCATGCATTTAATATATATTTTTTTGGTAAATATTTTTATTACATTGTTTTTTTTTTAATAAAAATTGCATTTTTTACAAAAATATCGTTTACAAAATCATAAAGAAATTTTAACAAACATAAAAATTAGACTATTACAGAGAGTTCATATTCATAAAATTAAATACTGGTGCATTAGTAGACTTAAAAACTAAAAATTAAGTTTTAGTGTATCACTGCTGTGGGCCTATACAACCCACTAAAATAATTTTGAACTAGTAACTAAGATTGTTGTGTGGAATGACTAAGGACTAAGAGGTAATTTGTACAAATAATGTAAAAAGGAAAATAAATATGCAAAAAAGTTATACATACTACTTTTTTCGATAGATAAAACTATAAACTATATAGTGGGATAATACAAAGTTTAAACGTAAAATACTTTGGGTTAAGAGTCAGTTATTCATCATCTAAACGTATGGCATGATTGACATGACCACATTCTTCAGAGGGCTTAATATCATCCGAAATGGCGGCAATAGTTGGAGCAATTATATCATTTACTTTCATATTAGTATCGGTATTCAGATTAATATTATTGGCATTTTGTACAGAAGTTATTTTGAAAACACGACGTCTTTGTACGGTA